GGAGGCCCCACCCTAGCGTGGGGGGGACCGAAGGCTCTGTCTGGGGCGGCGGGCTCGGCTTTCCCGCCTCCGGTTCCCCCAGCGCCAGGGACATACCTGGATGGAGCCCGAATGGCACCGCGGTCCCTGCTCAGCACGTGGAGTGTGCTTATCAAGTTTTTGACTTTTGTTGACTGTACTCTTTCTGCTGGCAGCGCTGCCACTGAGTAGACGCGGGCCAATGAGTCTGTGCCCTCGCCGGGGAACGTTTTGTCCAACAAAAGGGCTGACCAAAGCAGGCTCAACTCGGGTAAAGAAGCATGGTGGGGACGTTCGCCTCACCTCCCCCCAGGTGCACAGCCCTTTGGGGGCTTCCTCTCTTGGGAGTAGGTTGTTTGCTGTCTAGTAGGGGACGGGGGCTTCTATACACCACATCCCATCCCCAGGACGGCTGCCTGAGGTGAATCTATTCCAAAAAGATGAAAAATTCACAGATGTGAGCTTGGCTGGGCTGTTATTACTTAGAAAAACTGTAGATAAATTAGATCCACTCCATAATTAGAAATATTTAGATTATAATCGCAATCATGCACGCATTAGATGGAGCAAAGAATAAATCAAATACTAATACTTGAAGACTATTTTCCTGACAAAATTGAGCACGTAGCAGCGTTCTCATCTGAGGAGGTTCTGCAGCTTTTTTTTTTTTTTGGTTTTTCTCAAAAGTATTCTAGGGCTTCCTCAAACCCAAGGCTCACTCAATCCTTTGATAACCATCACTTCTTTTTTGGAAGGCCCAGGCACTTCCCTTGTAAATGTTCCCTTTGTCTGTGGTCATTCACTGCTGGTTTCTCCCTCATTTGCTTCCATCAACTTCATGAAATCTCACACTTTTTGCAAGATATGCAGTTTCACTTGTCAGTCCACCTGCTTATGTGCTTGGTGTAGTTGGCTACTGATGGCCCTGATAATCCCTTGGAGACTACTTTTGGTAGGAATTCATGAACTGTGGTTAGCATTTACAGGTTGCTAATCTGGAAATGTTGCAGTGGCTTCTTGTGCAGTTTAGAGATTAAGACTTTGAGAAGTCAGGAGAAGGTCATCTAAAATTTAGAGCCAGGGAGATGAAGGCTCATAAAGGGTCCTGGCTCAAGATGTACACAGGGTCTCACAGCCAGTACGTGACAGTCTTGAACCAAAAGCCTGGAGTTCTTCCCCAGGTTTTGGTAGTGAGGATGGACAGGAGATGGTGGTAGAGGCTGCACCTGAACTCTGGCCATAACCTCAACACAATGAGGCCCTTTCACGGTAGGAAGAAAGAGATACTATGCTGCCTTGAGGAAAGGGGTTGCTCTGGGAAGGGCACCCACCTGCTCAGATCCAAGGTGCATTCTGGCCATAGGCTGGGCTGCTCATATTGGTCACCTAATGTCACAGTAACCGTGTGCTGGGTGTTGTCACCACTGTGTTGTAGTGAGGAAAGTAAAACTTAGAAGTTGAAGATCTTATTAGGGGTTCTCAGAGCCCCAGAGTTCCGTTTTACCCTTGTTTCTAACACTCCACACTCCAGGTATCTGAATATCATGCTAATGTGGTGTCAGGCTCCCCAGTGGCCCCAGCAGGGGCTTCTGTCCCCAACTCAGGACACTGGGGTTTTTGACTTGAGGCCTGTGACAGCATTTCCTGCACTATAGTTTTGTCCCATACCATCACCACTTTGCCATCAATGCATATAACACTTGAGCCTTTGTTTAGTAGGCATTTTTCTACAAATTGTTTCACTTTTTAGGATGTATGTAATTTTTTTTTTTTTTTTTGTACCAGGGCTTGAACTCAGGACCTCGCGCTTGCAAGGCAGGCAGCAGAACCACTGAGCTCAATCCCCAGTCCAGGGTGTATTACATTTTAGGGGACTATTTGCTATTATTAGGATAAATAGGAAATCTACGTTAGTATAAATTTTAAAAATCATACAAATAAATAGCATGCAAACAAAACAATGTTATTCAATGTTATTAAAATCTGTCTAGAAATTTTGTTTAAAGGGATGTCATTTCTACAGCCATGTTCATAGCATTATTCACAATAGCTGAAAGGTGGAAACAGCCCAAGTGTCCATTAACAGTTGAATGGATAAACAAAATGTATATATACACACAGTGGAATATTTTTCATTTTTTAAAAGGGAGGGCATGCTGACTCGTGCTACAACATGAAGGAGCCTTGAGGACATTATGCTAAGTGAAATAAGCCAGTCTGAGAAACATAAAATGCTGTTGGATTCCACTACAGAAGGTACCCAGGGTAGTCAGATTCATAAGAGATGACAGAAGGGCAGTCACTAGGGGCCTAGGGTAGGGTGAATTCAAAGTTTTTGTTTAAAGGCTACACAGTTTCACTTTGACAAGATGAAAAAAGTTTTGAAGATGGTGGTTGTGGTCACACAAGGATGATGATGTGACTGCTGCTGAACTCTATGCTTAAAAAATAGTTAACATGGTAAATTTTATGTTATATATAGTTTATCATGACAATTTAAAAAATGAAATATCTTGTTTTTGATAGCTAGTAATTAGTGAGTTAGCAAGAACCTGTCTCAAAATAAAAAATAAAAGGGGCTAGGGTTATAGTTCAGTGTTGAAAGCCCTGGGTTCAGTCTTCAGTACTGCAAGGAAAAAAAAAATTTTTTTTGTTTTGATGTCTAATAATGGGAGAAAAAGTCAGAAGAACCTAAGTCAGCATTAGAAAGAGACTGAAGATAATTTATCCCTAAACCAAGGCTTTTGCAGTATGCAACCAAGATTGGAGAAGAGTAGAAGTAAAAGACACATTTACCATGTGACTCAGTTGCACTGGTGACCTGTTGGGGATCTCACGTATATTCCCCTTAGAGCCCACTGGGGTGAGTAGCCCCCACATGGGCAGACACTTCTCTAGGAGTGGTATGTGGCCCTATTGTTTGGGTGATAGAGCAGGGCCCTGGCATGCTTTCTCATACTTCAGCTTCTAGAATGTTCTTTAGGGTCGTAGAGGGCAGAGAAGTCTTCTAGGAGGAGGCAGGACTTGAGCTGAGTCCCAAGTGGTGGGTTGGTGGAGGGCTGCCGAGGTCCCTGTGTGTCACAGCTGGGGCCAAGCAGGAAGGTAGGCTTGAATATGGCCAGCACATAATGGAACCTGGTGGAATAGAGCCATACGGAGTCATCCCTGGCTTTTGAGCAGGAGAACATACGGAAGTGAATTCCAGGCTATGGAGTGCAGGGCTAAATAACTGACATCCCAAATGGGAAACAGAGGGGCTGTGGGTGGTGGGTAAGGGAGGAGGGTCTCCTCCTGGACCCTGAAACTAGCTGCTTGGGCTTACACTTGAGGAAGGAGGTGACTTGTGGTTCAAACCTAGAGGTGGCCAGGAGACCTCAGACAGGAAGAGCTGGAGGTCAAGATCTGGGTCATTGTCATAGAAAACCAAAGTACAAGGCTGGGGGTATAGCTCAATGATACAGTTCTTGCTTAGCATGCACAAGGTCCTGGGCTCCATCCCCAGCACCACAAAACTACAACAGACTGCAGAGAGGGCAAGGGCTTACCCAAGTCACCCAGCAGGGGTATGGCCAATGTCCCTGCAGAGCCTTTGTGCTGCCCCTGAGGTGGGGACAAGTCCATCTTCTAAAGCACAGCTCCCCTGCCCTCTCCCACAGAGCCACAGTGCTCCCTGTGGGCTATGCTTGGGTTGATGCTAACAGCGCTCATGTGGCAGGCGCAGAGGCAGGAGACCATGCCGGGACCTGTCTGCTTTCTCCCTGTTACTGCATTTCCATCCCCACTCCCACCCCTCAGGGATGGAAGAGCACATTCCTGAGTCACAATTTTCCCAGGGGTTCTGGTTGGGGCTCAAGCAGCAGACACCCTGTTTCCCCCTACACACACGCATGCACTCACCCTCACTCCCTCCTTTCCTTAGAGTTCCTCAGAGAGTGGTGTAGCTCAGGATTGTGGGGACCCAGTTCAAGGAGAAGCAGCTTGTTTACTGCCCCACTTGTTCTGGGTGTGCTTTCTGAGCTGTGCTGCCCGGGAGGCCTCTGTCCCAGGGCCCAGCCACTGGACAATTTAGGGCCAGGTCTTTCTCTTTTCTGGGCTACAGGGTCCTCATCTGTGAAACATGGCAACTTTACAAAACACTTCTGGTGACTTTGCAGCGGTATTTCTACCCGGTGGTACTGCTATGAGGGAAACTAAAGTTCAGAGAGTTTAAGTTTCTTGCCCCAATCACTCAGCTAATGAATGGTGGCTTGGTGCTGGAAGCCAGGCAGTCTGGCCTACCCCTTGCCTCACATCCCTGCCATCGCTCATCCTGTGGATTGTCAGGTCAGGCAGAGGTCATTCTCCCTTTTCTACAGATGGGGAAACTGAGGTACAGGGCAGTGATACCGCTTTTCCCAATATGCAGGGCCAAGGTGGGTCTTAGGTCCTGCACTGCACTGTGTTGCCCAGTCCTCACACCCCTCCATGGAGGTGCAATTGTCCCCTAGAGGTGCTGGGCCCTGAGAAGGAGAGCTTGGCCTAAGTATCAGCTCAGAGGAAGCAGAAGCTGCTGCAGCAAAAGAAGAAGTGAAACCAAGGCGCAGTGTGCGGTGGGATGAAAAAGGCAAGAGAAGCAAAGTGGGAGTGTATGTGTGGGGGGTGGGGTGGGGGGGTGAACAGAGAGGTTACTGCAGCTGGTGCCTCAGACTTCCCCTTCTTCCGGCAGCAGCAAGAGGGGTGAGACGAGGGTAGCAGAGTGGCAGCAGCACAGGTCAGTCCCCTGGGTCTTTCTTCCTTCTCTCCCAGCTCTCTGTCCTTATCCACAGCATTCCCACACCCCCGTGTGCCCTGGACTGACCCTTCCCAGTGGTCACTGGCCTCGCGATGTCCCAGGAGAAGCAAGCTGGGGACCCAAACTCCTTCCACTCTGGGTGGCGACTCTAGTTCTGTGGGATGTGGAGAGCTGTGTTGTCAGAAAAGGCGATTTCAACCTGAGAGGGAAAGGGCTGGGGTGATAACTCACTATACCATCCACAGACTGGACAAAAATAAATTTTAAAAAGAAAAATGAAGGAGTGATTAGGTGTTGGGTTTAAGTCTTAACTTCCTCATGTAGCCTGAGGAAAATTATTGGACCTATCTAGACCTGTTTCCTCATCTGGAAAATGGGGCTGGTCCTATAACCTGTACCTTGAGTGACAGCGGTGAGAGATCATGAGATGCTCAGCAAACTGTACCAGTCAACTTCCTCTCTGAGCACCGTGTGGCCTGAGGACTACCTGCTGGCTGTGCTGCAGCCTCTATTTGCCCCTCTGTGAAAAATAGCAGCTCTCAGGGCTGTTTGGCAGAGACCCAAGGTCACTCCCCACGTGCACCAGGAGGAAGCCAGAGGTGGAGGCTCTGCGGTATGGTGGGCAGAGGCAGCAGCTTAGTGGAGCAGTGAGGTCATGTACAGTGGCAGGGTGGGCTTTCACGAGGGTGTGATCAGCTTGAGGAGTAAAGAAGATGGACTCCTGGCCAGGGACTTTGCTCGGAGCCTTGCACCTGGATCAGAGCCTGACTCTCAGGAGTGCGGATAAGCTCAACGGTGGTCTGAGTCTCTGTCTTTGGGAAATAGGGCTCTTCAGCCTCATTTTGCAGATGAGGAAACCTGAGGCCCAGAGAATTTAAGTTCCTTGCCCAATGTCACAGAGCCTGGACACTGAATACTGGAGCTGGTTACTAATTTGCATCTTCCAAGTCTGTTCCATGCTTCACGTGTCTCCTCATCTCTCTCTTAGCTTAACTAGGGTCTTACTTGTCCACTCAGTGGCTCAGCTCAGCTACCCAGCAGTCACTGGGATTTGGAGTCTGGAGCACTGGGTTTCAGCCCATTCTGACCACCTGGCTGCTGTAGAACCACAAGCAAACTACTTCTTTTGTGGGTATTCAGTGTTCCTGCAATCTATTGGAGCCATCTTGGAAGTCAGGTAAGGGATTCCTGATTCCCAGAGGCCCCCACATAATGACTTATTAGGAGGGGAGCCTGATGTCCAAGGTTGTTGGGGTGATGGTGCATGGGACGGGAAGGGTGCTTGGAGGTTACCAGTCGAAGTGAAGATGGTGGTTTGCCCCTGAGAAAGGGCGTAGAAACCATACTTCCACCCCGTGTGCTGAGGTAGGGTCACTTCTGCTTGGGCCTTGATCTCTTCATTTGTAAGGAGGGGTCAGGGTCCTCTTCCCTCAGTGCCTGCCTGGGAGCAGTGTGGCTCAGGGCCTGGGGACCTGGTCCTTGGGTGCATACCCTGAAGGTCAAGTCTACCCGCCTGCTGGGCCTCAGTTTCCCTGTTAGTGCTGTGAAGGGCAGGACAAGTTGGGCAGAGGTTCTTTCTGCACTCTTTGGTTCTCTACTACTTTGGGCTTGGTTTTCTCATCTGAAGTCCTTTGCACTGTGTATTTAGCAGCTTTCTTGGTCTCCCCAAACTTTGGCTCTCATTTTTTCCCAGGTTCTGAGAGGGCGGGTGACTCCAAAGACAGTAACACAGACATATAAATGAACAATAACCAGATAAATAAGAATTTGGCACTCTGATTCCATCATTTCCATTTCTGTAAATAAACGTTACATTAATAAATAGTATTGTGAAAAATGGGTGACCATTGGGGAAAAATAAAATTGGGTCTGTATCTCACACCATGTTCCTGGACCAATGTAATGGAATGGAGATTCCAATGTGAAAATGAAACCATAAAAATACTAGAAGAAGCCAGGTGTGGTGGTACATGCCTGTAATCCCAGCACTTGGGAGGCTGAGGCAGGAGGACCTCTGCAAGTTCGAGGCCAGCCTGGGCTACATAGCAAGACCCTATGTGTCTCACCCCCCCACAAAATACCAGAAAATACCAGAAGAGATGCTGAATTTCTTAATAACATTAAAGTAGGGGAATGTTTTTCTAGCTGTGATTCAAACTCCAGATGCCTAAGGAGAAAATACTGATATTAAAATAATTTAAAATGATATCTCAAGCCAGGAGTGGAGGCACATGTCTGTAAACCAGCACTCTGGAGGCCAAGGCAGAAGGATTGCTGCAAGTTCAAGGCTGGTCTCAGCTATATCATGAGACCTTATCTCAAAAAAACAAAAACAAGCAAAACAAAACAAAACAAAAAGCCTCTACATGGCAAAAAAAAAAAAAAAAAAAAAAAAAAAAAAAAAAAAAAAAAAAAAAACCCAAAAAAAAAAAAAAAAAAAAAAAAAAAAAAAAAAAATCCAAACAAAATAAAAGGAAACATAAAACAAAACATACATAATGTTAAAAGACAAATGACAAACTAGGAGAAATATTTGCAATTCATGTAACAAACAGCTGCTTTTCCTGTTATGTAAAGAGTTTCTAGAAACTGCTAGGAAAAAGTCCAACCAGATATACAAATGGGCACATGGTGAACTGACGTGCATGGGAAATGATGTAACTATAGCTGCACTGTTTATAAGAGCAAAAGACTAGGACTGCTACAACTGGCTTTTAACAGCAGACTGTTAAATTCTGGCTTATCTTTACAAGGTTAGAATATGCAGTTTAAAAGCAAAGTCTTTCTAAACATTGTTATGGAAGGCTCTTTTTCAAGGGAAACAAGCAAAGTGCAGATTACCATGTAGAGTCAGCTATTTCTTTTGGTATAAAATTGGGGAGACCCTCTTTGCTTATGTTTGTATGAAGAAATCTGGAAGATACACAAAACTCTACCAACTGGTATCCGGTGACAGTGAACTGAGCACCAACTGGTTGAGTTTGCAGATTGGAGGACTATTTTGTTTTTAGAGCCTTTTGTGTTTTTTATTTACACTTGAAAGATGTAAATTTTTAAGCTATCCAAAGAGTAAATAGAAATTAAGAAGTGTGTAACTACACCATTTGGGGAAACATCAGAAAATACAGACAGCTAATATGGTACAAATAAGTCCATAATTTTTCTGCCTAGAAGTGGCAACCATTTATCTTGCATGTGTGTCTTTCTGCTTTTGCATATATAAAAAGTATGATTTTTTTTTTGCAGGGATGGGATGATGTTTTGAAACATGTCTTTTGTTCTTCAGAAGGAAAATTATTTTTCTGTATTGATAAATTATCATCTGGAGCATTTAAAAATTCTAAGCACTAAAAACTTTTTCTTTCTGTTGTGAAGATAATACATGTCAGTTGTACAAAATTTAAGTGAAACAGAAAAAAGTAAAGATGAAGGGAAAAAAGCTTCCTTCAAAACAACATTATTTACATTTTGGTTAATTAGCCTTCTAAATATCTCAATACGCTTGAACTTGCATATAAATATACTTTGCCATACATGTGATTCTATCTTGTGAGTTGTTTTCAGCCTGCTCTTTCCAAGCAGGGATAGGACCTCCTTTTCATTAACCTGGCTATATAAATATAATTTTTTTTTTTTGTACCAGGGATCAAACTCAGGACCTTGTGTTTGCAAGGCAGGAGTGGTGCCACTGAGCCAAATCCCCAGCGCCGTAAATATAAATTTTAATAGAAAAATTTTAATCTACTTACTGTCTATAAATTTTTAATTTAGGGAAACTTATAAATTCACAATTTCTTGCAAAAAATAGTACAGATAAATTCTGTGTTTTCACCCAATTTCTTTTGGTAGTAATATCCTATGTTCCTGTAGTACACTATGAAAACCAGGATTGACTTAGTACAATTCAAAGAGTTTATTGAGATTCCACCAGTTTTGTTGCACTCATTTATTTGCGTGCATAGTATGGGTGTATATTTAATTCTGTGCAATTTTATTACACATGTAAATTCCTGTAACCCTCACCACAGTCAAGACACAAAACTATTCCATCACCACAAGGATCTTGCAGCTCCCCGTCAAAGACACACGTCCTCCCCAACATTTGCCAACCACGAATCTGTCCCTGCTCTATAATTTTCATTTCAAGCACGTTATACAAATCACATCATACAGGGTGCAACACTTGAATTGGCTTTTTTGTTTTGCTCAGGATAATTCTAATTCTCTTGAGTCATCCAACTTGTATGTATCAGAAGTTTTTTTTTAATTAAATTTTTTTTTCATCGTTGAGCTGTAGTCATGGTATGGGTATGCCACGGTTCATTTAACTGTTCACCCTTTGAAGGAGCACAGAGGTTATTCCGTTAGGGGTCATCATGACTAAAGCTGCTTGGAGTATCCATATATAGGTTTTTGTGTGAACATGAGTTTTTCTTTCTTTGGGGTAAAAGCCCAAGTTCACCACTGTTGGATCATATGGTAGGCACACATTTAGTTTTTTATGAATTTGCTCAACTGTTTTCCAATATTCCTCTTTTATAAGATATTTACATAGTTTTCAAATTTTCTTTATTATCAACAATAGCATTCTAAATATTTTTATATGGATGTATTCCTAGCTTGCTCTATTATTTCCATAGGATAAATTTCTTTTAAATTTTATTTTATTTTATTAGTTTATGTTTGCATTTCATGCAGTTTACAGTCACCTTAGGGAGTGGTTACATTACATATTGCAGCTTGTTTTTTTTTTTTTCTCATCCTCTCCCCTCCCCCTCCTCCTCTGGTTCCTCTATCGTCTTTTTCATACTTGTTGATATTATTTATCTTAGCTCATGTTATGGAGTACCATGTTTACTTTGATTGGAGTTATTAGGATCCTGTGTGTGACACATCCTTATTTCTCTCCTCCTCCTCCTCCTCACCCCTCATCCTTTTTCCCTTGGAGCACTTCCCTATTGGATGAGAGCTGTCCCTTCATCTCTTTCTATCCATCTTCTATCATTTTCTTTGTTTGTACTGTGCCTCACTCAAATGAGATACCATATGGGATTTAAGCTTCTATGTCTGATTTATTTCACGCAACAGTATATTTTCCAGGTGCATCTAATTTCCCACAAATGCCTCAAATTTGACATTCTTTATAGCAGAGTAGTATTCCATTATGTAGAGATATCACATTTTGTTTATCCAACCATCTGTTAATAAGTATACAGGCTACTTCCAGGATTTTGCTATTATGAATTGTGCTGCTATGAACGTGTATTGCTGTAGCTTGATGATTTAAGCTCTGTGGGGAAGAATCCTAGCAGAGGAATAGCTGGGTCATGTGGAATTTCTAATTTCAATTCTTTGAGAAGTCTCCGTATTGATTACCATAATGGTGCTTTCCCACCAACAGTGGAGGAGGGTTCACCTGTATTTGTTACTGTTCGATTTCCTAAAGATTACCATTCTTTCTGGGGCAAGATGGAATCTTAATTTGTCTTAATTTGCATTTCTCTAATGATTAGAGATGTTGAACATTTTTTCATATAACCATTTGTACTTCTTCCCATGTGAAGTGTCTGTTCATTTTTCTACCCCATTTATTGATCAGGTCTTTAATTTTAGTTGGTTTAATTTTTTTTTGAGTTCTTTGTAAATTCTAGCTATTAGTCCTCTGTCTGAGGAATAAGTTGGAAAAATTCTTTTCCCAGGGCCAGGGACTTAGCTCAGTGGTACCACATGTGCCTCAAAAGTGCAAGGTGCTGAGTTTAATTCCCTTGTGAGTTTTCTTCCTCATGAGAAGGATGGTTGACTCTCTTTTCTTCATCTCCTCTTATCCAGTCTCTCAATGTGGTGTTTTTTTTTTTTTTTTGGCTTGGTTTTCTAATATCTGAGTTAACAAGCTAAATTCAGCCCTTTGGAATGTGGTATTGTTAGTTTTGACAAATGCCTACACTCATATAAACATGTATATCATAGTCAGGAGGTAAAACATTTCTATTGCCCTGAAAAGTTGCTGTGTGCCCTTTTGTTGTCATATCTTTTTCCCACTCCCTGGCAACTATGGCTTTTATGTCTAACCTTATTATTTTTACTTTTCAAAATGATCATAGAAGAGGGATCACAAAATATTCAGCCTTTGGTGTCAGGTTTCATTCACTTAGCTTAATGATTTTGAGATTTACCAAT